TGTTTAGATTAAATTTATGCTAATTATTGAACATTGATTGTGTGACTTATGTCACGTGGACTTTTATCACGTGTTATGATAACATTGATTTATGTAAATGAGTATCAAGACAGTTTTTTTGGTTTTCACAAATGTATGACACGTATTTTGCTAACCTGGACTATCAAGACGTTATTGCTAACCTGTACTTTACATGATTGGAATTTTATGGAAGTGTAAGAAGTATGTCTTTATATAGTCGCCACAGAAGTAAGTTGTATGAATTTTATGATTCATTATACACGATTGTAATCGTAAATATTAAGCTATGTGATCTGCATGTTTTAGATCGAATACACTACATTACTACACAATAAACAAGTGCTATACGGTTTGTGGTGACTCTGGTAACTTCTTCGCGGTACACTGTTCTTATACAGCACTATAGTGAGCACCATCCAACATGGCTGCCATTTTTATTCCCCCTTAGGAAGGATTTCAAACCTCCTATAGTGAACATCATCCAACATGGCTGCCACTTTTATTCCCTTAGGAATGATTACAAGCCATCTATTGTGAACACCATCCAACATGGCCGCCACTTTTMTTYCCTTAGGAATGATTACGAATCACCTATAGTGAACACCATCCAACATGGCTGCCACTTTTATTCCCTTAGGAATGATTCCAAACCACCTATAGTGAACACCATCCAACATGGCCGCCACTTTTCTTTCCTTAGGAATGATTACGAATCACCTATAGTGAACATCATCCAACATGACTGCCATCTGTTTTCTCTTAGGAATGATTACAAACCATTCAATATGGCCGCCACCTTTTCCACTGCACCAGAGCCTTATAACCTTGACTTTCAAGATATTGGAATGGCTTTCTCCTTGAACCAGTTACATAGCTTCAACATTTCTCTCATCTAATCATTGATAAGTTAAGGAAAAAACATGATTTTCAGAACAATATTTCAAGAGAAACGTCTAGTCTAGCACACTTAGGAAGACAACGGTTTGAATTCTATGGTATTTTGACTATTCCATTCTTTCTATTCAAAACAAAATCAAACAGTCCTTCTTCCTAAAGGCGGTATCTTTTCGTTAATCTCAAATAAAACTCTTTGATAAAGTACTTTAACTTCGTCTAACGGCTCAAAATCTATAACTTGGTCAAAGAAAACAAATAGCAATTACTTAAGTACGTATCATATGCGTATAAGGTAAACACGAAAGGACTTTTTCCGAACCAAATATTCATAATTAAAATAAAAACACTGAAAATTAGAATAGATGAAATAAAAAGCGATTAAGATTATTTTTCATTATCTTCTTTGGCCATTCGTTAATAACACAAAAATGTATTAAGCTAGGATTGTGGGAAGCTTAAAATTATTCATTATAAAAACAGCAGCTCATCATTTTTAGAAAGCAAAAATAATTAAAAATTAAAAATTGATTGTTCTCTTATCCCCTCAAAATTGCAGAAAATTTTAAGAAAAATCTAAGCCCTCGTCATAAAAATTTTGAGAAAACTAAATGAACGACATATTGGCGGGAACACATAGATTAAACGCTTAAAATGTCCAGGAGTTTATGAAGTATTGTACGAAAGGTTGGACTTTTTAAAGGTCTTGATAAAATACAATTACAATACGGATATGTTTTGTGTTATAGCCTGCGTTCAGACGGCGTAATTTCTCTCGAGATGAGAGAATGTGACGATCTTACCTCTAATTTTGAAGAAGGCTGCAGGAGGCCTGGAAATGCAAACTTCCGTCGAGCATTTTGCCGACCAATGTTCAACACTCTGGTTCAACACAAAGATCGTATATTTACTTTCAAGATCACTGATATTATATCAATTATTCACCACGCCTTTCTAAAAAATGAAGACAAAGCTATATATGTCCTTTTATCCTTTAGGACAAATTTAAAGTCATGATCAATAGGGCTGGATCTTTGAATTGTAGTCGAACTTGGAAACTATTATAACAGTCTACGATGACTTCACGATTATTTATCTATTAAGTTAGTTATCTTCAAAACAGTGCAGTGGTGATCCAGAATATAGAAACGAATAGAAATAAATAAGCAGAAAATCAACTGCAGAGTTGAACAGCAGGCACTGTCCAAATAAATGAATGTTAAAAAAAAAAAAAAAAAAAAAAAAAAAAAAAAAAAAAAAATTAAAAAAAAAAAAAAAAAAAAACAAAAAAACAAAAAACAAACCAGTTGTAAGACCTCTGGGTTCTCATCGAGTCGAAAGTGATCTACTACAAATTGAATTCTATACAAAAAAATAAGCCGGAATCAGATTTTTCTATGCATTTAATCTTACTCAAATAGTTCCAATTATCCATAAGTGTAATTGAGAATGATTATGATTTGCCCGGCTATTTCAATTTTGAAGTTTTTCCCCCCGGAAATTAATAAAACAGAGAATGGGACTTTCAAATAGTGAATTGAATTTAATCAAAATTAATACTCATTATCTATTGAAACTAATTTCTATTTTCGTATGTAAAAATTGGAATCTTACCGATGAATAATGATGCCAGGGACTTCAGTTTTTAATCGGCTTTTAGGATGTTTAATCGCGGCATTCGACACTGTTATTCGAAATTAGGAAGGGAAATACTTTCCCCAACTGCGCATGCTCAGATTTTATAATTGCTGAAAATATTAAACCTTGAACTTTGTCTTGATAAATTATGCTTTACTTAAGTTTTGAATTTTTTTTTTTTTTTTTTTTTTTGTTTTTACAGCTGGATTTTGGAAAAGCACAAAATAAAAAATTCACAGAAAGTTTAATATTTGGTGACTATGGAGGTCACAATACAAACTTGATTTTTCTAATATCGAGAACGGAAAACGACCCTGGAAAAAGGATTAAGCCAAGAGCTTCTCCAAGAAAACAATACATTAGTTCTTGTCGGACTATTGATCGGTACATTAACAGCGGGTTTTCGAATAACGACCAATATCTATCGAATAATATGTCCGGTTCCAATTTACTTACCAAAGCCGTCTTCGTTTCTGTTGTCAAAAACGATTCAGCAATGCGTTGACTAAAAGGTAATAAATTCGTCTGCTTCCAATTTTTTTTATAACAAATTGAATATCTGGTGATTATTATTCGAATTCTTTCAATTTTCATTGAATTTCTGATTCTTTACTTTTAGTAATTTAAAGGAATAAGACAATTGTCGGTGTATTTTAGGTCAATTGGTGTTCAGTGTGAAAGGGTGGACAGTACTTAGGGATATTCCACTCAGTTTTTACGAGAGCCTATCAATCATGAATTTGATTCTTAAAAAACAAAAAACCTGCGAAATTCATTTCAGGAAGTTTCAGCGGGTGGTACTCTCACATACTCCATCTCTTTCTCACACACATACACTAAATTGTTTACTGATAACCGCACTTAGGTACAATCTTTCTAGAGTTTTCAATGCGGGGGAGTTCTTGGATACCTGTCGGGGTTAGTTGGTAGGTGATTTAAATTTGATGGTTTAAATTTGCTTTAATTTCTGTCCAGGTTTGAAGCACCAACATTTAATAATTTACAAATAGTTACAAGCCCCCCCCCCCCCCCCCCCTCTCTAGATTTTCTCTTAACTCAGGCGCCGGCGTGTCGACTTCATCAATGACATTTTAATCATGGAAAAGTACTAGATAAATGACTTATTTATAGAGATATTTTTTGGTTATGTTCGTACAGTACTTAAAGTTAAGAGAGCGGGACTAAGTGCCTTAAGCTCCTCAGTTGAAAACAAAACATCGCTTACCTGGCATGACACGAGTTTACTGAAGAAAGTTTATGAAACCATAAGTAAGGATATTGATAGTTTTTTCCCCTAAGACTCGATAAATTATTACACATATATCTTTCAAACACCTTCCTGTTTTCATTTTCCATCAATTAATGACCTTTACTGTGTAAGATAGCCTTCAAGAGAGTCATCGATCCCCCTACTTGACGTGAGAGGTCGGTCAGATATACACGGTTAGAAAGCTTTCTTTTTATGTCATTGACAGTCGATCATGTGGAGAAAAAGGCCCCACTTGAACGTACATGACCATGAATAACATCTATCTTAGAAACTTGAGCGATAAACATCACGTTTCATGCGATGTTATTCATACCGATCACAAAGTCTTCGATTGTACGTTACGTTATCGCGGCCTCTCGGGAGAGCGTTGGGGCCATTTATCAAAAGATTTCTTATTAACATCCATTTTTAACGGCATCACAATGGCCGCCATGGTTTTGTCTTTTAAATCTCCTTGGAATGCTTGCAACCCATCAGTAGGGGACTTGTTTGGAGTTCTGTGAAAACTGTGAAAATTTATCTAGACTCACATTCACTCTTCTAATCAATCTTACATTAAAACAAGATGTATAGCTTGTCTAAATAATTTACATAATTGGCGCGCAAATATAATCACGTGACGAAGAACAGCGAATAAAAATTCAGCAGTTTTTCCTCACTTTCCACCTAGTTTTACATTTCTTTAAAGGAAAATGTTTTTCTGCAAATTAAAAACGATTTTTGGTTATTTCCTTCCCATTATCAAGGGAGGAATTTAAATAACTTTCTCGGACGAATTTTTACATTTGTTCACCTTTTTCGTAAAAGGGCACGTATTTCCCCGGCATTTCCCCGGCATTTTTGTTGCATGCAAAGGCATGTTTCTTGTCCCGCCGGGCTTAGCTACAACTTTTTAGTCTTATTCTCGTCTTTTATCAAAGATTTTACAACATTTTTACTGTTCCAATCAGTCTAGAGTGAAACTTATGCCAGTTTCAATGGCTAAAAACTGCCAGTTTTTAAGGTTTGACTCTCGTTTCTATGTCTGCGCTTCTTTTGCTCCGTGGCACTTATATTCTTCCACTTTTGAAGAGTTCAGTTCACCCAGGGAAATGTGAGGTTCACCGAATGAAAGTTCTCGACATGGAGAATTTATTGAGGGATTTGTGTTGTTTATACCATTAGAAACGATTGCAACTTGATGTACAATAGTCTCATTACATAAATCTCTTTCTATGTCAACAGAATGTGATCGATTCTTGATGGACTTTAAGTCATATGAAAGCGTATGCCTTCTTCGGCTGTGAGAACTTTTAATCCTTAGGAGTTTCTTCTTGAAAGCCGTAGTGTTATTTCTGCTTTCACAATTTTTAAGTCGAGGAATCTGTTGCCCAGTGCTATCTGCGACTTCATGGTTTTCACTTTCGGTCTCCATTTCATAGTTTAGGACGCCCTGTGTAACCATAACAGCATTACTTTCCATAAAAGACTCAGCCTCGATACCGTGTTCCCATTTATCTGCGCCCTCGAGCTCCATGACCAGCGGCATGCGTAAAGGAATCAATCGATCGATGATTATCAGTACTATGAAAGTAACGGTGGCACTCCATACAGAAACAACGACAGTCGCAAGAAGCTGAACCCCCAGTTTCTTCCAACTTCCTCCTTTGAAAACTCCGTAATCTTCTGAAAGGTTTTCTAAGGTGTCTTTCTCGGCAAATAAACCCACTGCGATTAAACCCCACACGGAACTGAAGAAGTGTGTGGGGACACAGCCAACAGGGTCGTCAATGCGTAACTTAGTGAGCATAGTACATCCCATGCAGGCGATGAGGCCACCGACGAACCCTATGATGAAGCTCTCCCAAGGACGAGCAACAGCACATATGGCTATAATAAGAATAACAATGAATATAAATAAACAAGAAAACAAACAAATAAAAAATAAAACATGCCACAGCACAGCACACGACACGACACGACACCACACGACACCACACGACACGACACGACACCACACGACNAAGCCTCCTCGATCGTCGATCGTCCCTCGATTAAAGCCCCCTCGATTGAATCGAGACTCATTCTTGGGAATCGAGACATGTCGTTAGAGATCGAGACTCGTTCATGGAAATCGAGACACGTTTTGAAAATCGAGACTCGTTTTGAAAATCGAGACTCGAAGACCAGTATCCTTGAGAGATCCACCACACCACACCACGCCACGCCACGCCACGCCACGCCACACCACACCACACCACACCATGCCAAGTAGTATCTCCGGATAAATATACATACCAGTAATGCTCACGAGGCCTCCCAGGATTCCTGTGGCGAATTGATCTATTAGAAGCTTGTCTTTGTATGCAATGTAACTGCGGACAAAACATTTGTATGATAAGTCTGTTTTTGACCTATTTACATGACAGAATGTGTCCCTTGCGTAAACTAGATCGTTATTCAAATTGGTCGCCTTTATTCGATTCGGCGCGCGTGGGAAGCCCCTCAATCTATCGGATAATTATAAACAGTTAGAATTGGCTCATTTCCCAAAGCAAACGGTAGATAATAGGACAATATTTTGATTTTTCAGTTTTGATAACGAGGTGTTTCATTCTTGGGGTGGAACCGCATTACTCAAAATCCCTTGAGAAGCTAGTAAGTAACAATGAAACAGCCGCCATGCTGGTTGATCCAGCAATAGAAGTTAATGAGGAATGCTTCGTCGATCAACATGCACACCAAGAATACTTAGAGTACAGAATTAATTCGTCTTATATCATGTGTTATTCACCTGTACACCATGCCGAATATCCCTCCACCTATAGATCCGTTCAGGGTAACAACAGCAGACCTATAAACATAAAATCACGCAAACAATAATATTTTGGTTGGTCAGTGTGCATCTTTGCTTTCTCAAGAAAATAAAAAGTTCAAAGGTTGTTTATTTTCACACTGGTCTTTGGTATTATTATATAGTAATAGGTCTCCGTGCTGTCCAATTAAGAAATAATCGGACGAGGAGTAATTATTCGAGTCTAATTATTTCTTGATTGGGGAGCATAAAATTCCATTACCTATTAATTATATAGCCGCCTAATTAATCCCATATCAACAAGACCTGTCCAATTAAGAAAATAATTGGACAGTTACCTATATGAGATTAATGAGAAGCTGTATAATTATATACATAATTATATAAACATAGAGGTATTTAAAGTGGTAGAGTACAGGGCCCGGTTGTACGAAGGTTGGATAGTGCTATCCAATGGATAAATCCTTATCCAGTGGATAGGTCGATGCTGTTATCCAATAAATTTATCCACTGGATAAGATTTTTCCACCTTTCGTACAACTGGGCCCAGGACTACGACAAAAATGGATTAATAAAAAAGTATCCTGTAACCTAGCAGTACTCAGATGAAACATAGTTCAAAAGCTCAAGATGTAGATACCATGTTGGTTGACATAATAATAGAAATCTTCATCCACTAGCTTGTTAATGCCATCCAATATGGCGACCATGTATATGACGACACATGTACATCAAATAGTACTATTATCCTTAAGTATTTATTAAACAATGCTGCTTTTCTGAGCATTATTTTTTTCTTCCAAGAAGTCGTAACTGATATCAGTACACAAATATGGATAAAAGTTCGCAAATAATTTTCTCCTTGGACAAGAGGTAGCAAATATATATATATTACTACTGAAAAATGTTTGTCCAAATGAGCACCCAAGGGAATTTAGAAAGAAACTGGAGAAATCTTGGTGAAACCACGCAAAGCTGAGCTAACAATAGATGTGAACTAGATTACCTCAGGAACTGTCAAACGTTGGGTACTTTTCCCAAGAAATATTCAGTCGAAGTTAAAACGATGTGTTTACTAACCTTGAAGCGAGTTTCCATTTGCCGCCAGTGATTCCAAAAGTGCTTCCACAGTTGAACCCAAGCCATCCCCACCACAGCATGAAGGTACCCAGCAGCACATTAGTTGGGGAGGCCATCGTAAGCTTGTTTGGGTTTCCCTTCTTGTCATAACGCCCAGTCCGTGGCTTCAACACCAACGTAGCAACCAAGCCACTGACTCCACCTACCAAGTGTACCGGCCCGCATCCTGCCACGTCTACAACGCCCATAGTCTTGAGCCATCCGTTCTTTCCCCATATCCAGTGCGCGGGGAAGCAGAAGGCAAGTGTGTTGACGAAAGAGAAGAGTGTGTAGGCTTTGAGGTTCACTCTTTCTGCCATTGCACCTGAGACGATTGTGGTGGCTGTTGTAGCGAATGACAACTGGAGAGCAAATAGTACATTATATGGGTTATAGGTAAGATGAACACCGTGGAATAAAAAGAGAACTAGCGAGTAAACTAGTTTGAGCTGCGTCGGTGTATAATACATATAATATGATGGGTTATAGGTAAGATGAACACCGTGGAATAAAAAAAACAAATATTATTTCTTACCTGGAAAAAGTACTTTGCAAACACTTCACCCATTTCGCTCTCATCCGCATCAGTCATGAAGTATCCAATCCCACAGAAGGGATTGCTACCTTCATCAACCCCAAAACTGAATGCAAATCCAAACAGCCAGTACGACAAACCTCCATAGATGACATCTACCGCATTCTTTACCATGATGTTCGTCTCATTCTTCTTAGAAACCATGCCAGCTTCTAGCAGACCGAAACCTGATTGCATGGTGAAGATGATGAATGCGCTCGTCAGGATCCATGTTGCATCGTCCGGGCGAATGACGGTTTCGTTAGGGGGAGTTAGAGTTGCGTTAGGTAGACTGCCATTCATCTGTAGGAGAAGTTAAGGTTTTATACACGACGTGAGTGAAAGAATAAAATCMGTGATGTATACGCTTGACCGATAGTATTTAAATTTGTGAATATTAAAACTAAAGCTTATGCAACAGCGTTTGCGAGACAGGTTTGGCCTAAGCTTTTCACCGTTTAACATCAATTGCTTGGTGAAACCTTCTGTCCGAGAAAGTTTCACGAAAGCAGAAGTGAGAATTACTTAAGTATTTATTCTGCTGTAATATTTCGCGAGGCAAGCTTTAAAACGAGAAAAATATTACTCTTTGACTTTGTAGTATTACTCTTTGCCGAACAGCGATAGCCTTCCTTTATGGTGTACATACCTTTGAAAACTCGTAAGATAGATGCAGCAAACTGAACGAACGAAGCAGAATTTACTCAGTACTTTGTGAGAAGATAAAACACCTAGTAACGGCATAAGAAAAGAAAACAATTTACTGTAACAAAATAACAGCTGAACAAACGGATTACCATCACTAACAGCACCAATATACCAGCCAATACGATAAACAAAAAATAATATAGACACGAGCCGAAAAATTACCAATTGCAATTAAAAATAATGATACGTTATAGACTAGAAATATAAATATAATTGCAAATATGAAAGGTGATGAAATCGTAATTTTGACGAGCAGGATTTTAGTGTGTTGCACGAAAACTTCTCGGTTTGGCAACGTAACATGGTTAATCATCGCTTCGAGAAAGATTTACGAACTAAATTTTACTCGTGCAACTCAAGCATTTTTTYCTACTATACCTGCTATAAAGTTATTGTTTTTTGGAATTAAATTGTGTGCAATTTATACTTAGTTTCGTGAAGCTTTCTTGATGAAAAAGTTCGAGAAGCGTGGAACTTCTCTTTCGTACCAGGGAATTAAACTTTTACTTCTCTTGAGAAAAGAGCGGCCACTCGAGCTCAGTTCGAAATAATTTTTATTATACAGGTTGAAAAACAATGCTTTATTTTCAGTTAGTATAGAATTACAATACACATATGTATGATGTATTTATGTATTTTGAAAACATTCAAGCCACTTGCTGCGAACTTTAGCTTCTCGATTTTTGAATTGCAAATCTCCAAAACTGCAAAAGAAGAAAGCTGAGACAGCTGCCTATATACATGCAATTTACGAATTCCATTTTCAATTTACGAATTTACTCCGACGAAGGACTAGCGTCCGAATTGTCAGTAAGTTTTTTCATCTTTTCACGGTGTATAATTTACCTTTTTATCATTACTGTTTCATTAGAAACACCGACGCAGTTCACACTAGTTTTCCGTAGCTAGTTATTCGCTAAATATTCGAGGAAAGAGTGTAACGAATTCAAAAAAGTATTAATTGCTCTTCTATGACAAAGGTTTTCAAAGAAAGACAAACGAAAGCGAAACAAATGAAAATTTAACGTGAAGAAAAGCCGTCTGAACACTTTGCATATAGTGTCAAACAGAGTTTCAAAAGCAATCTTGAGCAACTTTAAAATTCTTCCTGAATAAAGTAACAACATACTTGATTCCTATATAAATGTATATCAAAAAATGACTGTGTTGTCAGTCAGAAGAGTGATATATATTTATGTCAATTTGGACAGAAATACGTCAAATACGTGTTGCTAAAACTCTACAGGGCCCACTGCTTTGGCAAAAAGCTGTTGTTGTTTCCCTGCCCTCATGGGAAAAGATTATAAATAAAAATAAAAACAAATAGAATAGAAAATAAAATAAAATAAAAAACGGGACAAATGAATAAGTAAGAAATAGGAAAAACTGCCAGTTTGTTGAAGTAATCGGGTAAAGATGAGTAATGAGATTTTAATTTTTCAGATCTCAAAACAAGAACCGCAAAGAAATTTTCTGCTTTGAATTCGTTTGCTGAACCAACTAAAGTCAAACAATGCACTTTCTTTTCCGACTCAAAAGTCATTTTGACAATTTGTAGAGCTTGACTTTAAAGATCAAAGAAAACCTATTAGCGGTTTTTAACCCGCACATATAAATTGTTTTCTAGGAAAGACATCTGACTTAGACTACTCGAGCGTTAAATAAGCTTTTATTTCTACATACAATTCCACAATTATCACAGGACAGAAGAAGAAATAGGTTTTCTGACAAAAATTTACATTTTTCAAGTCATATCTTCGCGAGTTTTGAAATCATTTCCTTCAATTTTCCCAGTTTACTGTCTTTAACATTCTCTTTCTAGCAAGTATGAAAAATATTTTTATGTATACTAGTTGAAAAAAATCCTGATAAAGCCTTATTTAGCAACATTTTCTTTCTAGTTTTGACGTTTGCAACTAAAATCAACATCACATCCTAAACTTACCCGGCTGACAGACGATTCCTTTCCTTAAGAGAATTTCCCCCTTTTATATCATTTGTTTTCAAGGACTTAAATACAAAACTGTCCGGGCGACGAACTATACCAAAACAACATGCAAAAAGGAGAAGTTTTTTCAATTAAGGAATTCGGTCACATAGCGAGAACACGGAAACTCGCCTAAAACTGTTCAGCCTGGATCACTTCGGCATTGGTTAATCCGTCTATAAACTATTTACGAAATCAAAAAAACAATACCGAACTTATGATCATAAGTAATAATATAGATCTTCAATAAATAATATACGCGATTATGGCAATTTATATAAAATAAGAATTATTTTTACTGATCAATGTTATTATTGTAGTTTGAATAGAGGAACTTATCAATAGGAATGTTTTTTTATTATTTTTGTGATAACTGTCTACGTATAATGACTCTCTCACGTTAGGGAATGCTGACCACTTAAAAACCTGATCAATATTAAATGAATTGTCTTATATATTTATCAATGTTTGTAATATCATGTATACAATGTTTTATGAACACTTTACAGTCTTTCGACGTAGGTTGGGAATTTTGTTGACGTGAAATCAGGCTATGCAGTTTACTCTCCGGATATTTAGCAATTTTTCGCCGAAGGCGAAGTTAATATCGGGGAATATTTACCGAGACGCGAGTCTTCGAGCGGCGAGGTAAATATTCCCCGATATTAACTTCGCCTTCGGCGAATAATTATTGTGTTAGCAAGGCTAAAATTATTTTCTAAACGAAAAAGGCTAAAATTATTTTCTAAACGAAAACAAATATTTCATGATAATCACGTGTTATGACGTCCGATCTCACTAAAAATTGCATCAAACATTAATTCAATCTTTATGTGACTTATGTGCAAAAAAGATTTGCAATCGGATAAAACACGTTTATGCACCAGCTTTCCAAAAGTGGAGGGTAGCGGTCAAGCGTGAGGGGGTCCAGCCACCTTAAGCTTTGAGCGTGACGCGGTTGAGAGGTTCTCCACCTTTTGGAGCATGCGTACTAGAGGTGTTAATGAAATGAGAACTTGAAAGGAAAAACATAAATGACTAGCAATGAAAAAGAGGTCTTTAACATAAATAAGTTTATTTTCTTGGACTGGGCATTTATCTTACTAATTATACCATTTAAAATTAGTATTGAATTCGTATTTTTAGCTCAAAGATAATAGCTCGTTATTCTTTTGAAGTGTGAAATAGTGTGGAATAAATCATTTTGGACAGTTTTGATGGAGATTACTCAATCAAACCGGTAGAGAGCTTGATCATAAAAGCAAGGCCCTTTTTCGTACTCTGGCAATTAACTCACTGAGATGAAGCCATTTGAACTCAACGTTTAAACGGAAATAAATTATTATGAACAAGCGAAATCACAAAGTTATCCCCATCAACTGAAGAAACACGCAGATCTATATATATTAGAACAAAAGAGTTTGCCGATTAGAAAACCACACCGAGTACCAGTGACTATCATGATATGACACGAAATGTTCCCTCTACGGGAACAGGCTTTCAGTGATAATTCTTAGCTTGATGCGATGCTGGATAGATAGCCGGTTCTATTATATGTGAATCTGAAGTATGATCTTCGAGGCCGCGCGCGCCGGGGCAATGTTTCATTATATTCCCTATGGAGCCGATTTCCGCAAAAATTTGACTTTCAACTTCCTATACAAATTCCAGCAAAATCAAAACATTTCAACTACCAAAATCTTACTGCCCCGGTTACTAGATTTCTCCGGTAAATCATATTCCTGTTTCTTGAAACTTATTCCCCATGCAGGCAGCTTCGTAATCAAAATAGCCGGCACACCAACATATTTATTGGACCGCCATTGCCAATATTTTTATCATTATCATCGATATAACTCAGCCATACACTGTCATATTGAATATACATGAATATACAATGATAATATACAATAATAATATATACATATTTGCCCTAAATCTTACCTTTTTAGATGTGCTGCGAAAACAGACCTTGCTAACACAAAAGTCAATTATCTCTAGTGCTCTGTTTCTACGCCGGTTCCTTCCGAACAACCAACCCCAGCACGAACTATTTTCTTTTTCGGCAAAATCCTTGGTGTTTTTCAAGTTTTCGAGTGGCCGCCGGAATCTTGTCAGGAAATCTTGACGATTTTAGAATCTTCTAGTTGGCTTCTAAGAGTTGCACTTATAGTTGCAACAACAACTGACTTAAATAAACGTTTTCGGCTTGGTTTAAAAAAGGCTCATTGAAATGATCCTTAATTTTGTATCCGTATGACACTCAGCTTCCTTTAATCTCTGACGTTTAGTTGTGGAAATTCTCTACAGAATTCGCACTCATATGGCCTGGTTAACATGAATATAATCTAGGTTTTCAACTAGAGGCTCGTGAACAAAAACTAACAGTTTTTGCTAGAACGGCAGGTGAAAGATTTGCTTCCTCTTCAACTGTTTTTCATGAATATAAATGGGTTGTAATTTTGTCGATTGATGCTTCTCCCGCGTAGTGTTAGCACTATCTTTGGATAGATCAATGGGCAGGATTCGTTGACTTTTCATGTCAGCTCAACATGCTATAGCCAAGACACGGCCCGAAAGTCTCAGTTTCTCGAAAAAAAACTGCAATGTCTTTGTACTAATTAACTATACGGGAAAACTCATCGCAGACCGAAACGAATCATTTGTCTGCCTAAAGTTGTGAAAGATTTCACAAAGAAAAAAAAAAACAAAACAAAAAAACAAAACAGTTGAATGATTAGATTGTTTTAATTAAACTATTTTTATGACAGGACCGGAATGTCAGTCCAAGAATGATATTGAATCSGATTTTTCTGATACTTTTCTAGAGTGCCCTTTTTCTCTCTCACCTTTTAGTTCAAATCCAATATAGTTGATGCAAGGTTTTTTTGTAGCTCTGAATCCAGGAATAAAGTTCAGAATTAGAGTCCACTGGAGATATAAAGAATAGCTGATAATCCGTCTACAGTTTGCACTAATTAGACCCATTATCATACTTTGCTTCGGAAATCCTCTGAGTGTTCCATAACTGTTACTTTTTGTTTAAAAGAGAACATATATGCGCAGTTTGATATGGAAATCCTCGAAAGCTTTTGCAGCAGAAAGCCTGCAAGACGATTACACTCTTGAAAGAAGGGAACTCGCCCTAAAACGCTAATGAAACAACTTGGGTTGTTGTATGATTAGCCATGCCATGCAGATGGAACCGGCCAGTAGAAAATCTAAGGACAGCTGTAGTTCTTATCAGTATTGTATGCATGTAGATATATAAGTAGGCCGGTAGATAGCTGGGTAGGTCAGCTAAGTTAGGTATAGACMGGCAGGCAGGCAAGCAGTAGGTTATAGGTAGAAAATGAAATAGGTAGGGAATTTTAACTTTCGTGCCTTTGGTTGGTAACAGTTTGTATCCCCCACTAGAATTTTAAAACTAACTGGACCACAGAAGGGTAGTCTCCCTTGCATCCGTTTTTAGTGTCGGTCGTCACGCATCGCTGGGGAGGGAGCGTTGCGTGACGACCGACGCTAAAAACGGATGCGAGGGAGACTAACAGAAGGGATGAGTATGCTCGTTTTGACCGGAATTGCAGTTTGTGGACCACATTTTATACCTCGGACATTCCACAGGAAGCCCGAGGTAATAATTTTTATCTGGAGTTACTCGATTTTTTTTCAAAATCGCTTTTTTGAGGTTATTGGGTTTCCTGTGTGGCATCAAATTATCGGAATTCCGTCGGCAAAAATCCCGAGAAGCAAAGATGTGGCCGTGACTTATCGTGGTGTCGTCGGTGCACTGGTAAAGAGCCATCCGAGCAGATCTCGGGGAAGTCTCGTGACATCACCGCTCGTGTACGCTCCGCCATTTTGATCATCTTCACTGATTCATCTTCTTACCCAATTTTGGGGCGGTGTTTACCTAAAGTAGAATTCTTCAAATAGCTTTAAAATGTCGGACGGAGAACAACCAACGTATGTAGCCTTTTTTGGAGTTATGGGAGCGACTGCGGCTATGGTTTTTAGCGGTGAGTTTTTCATTTTTCTTACCGGGCATAAGATAGACTCATGGAATCATCATTCGATTGATTTTTAACCCGTCATGATTTCTGTGATTCCAGCCCTTGGAGCAGCCTATGGAACGGCTAAAAGTGGTACTGGTATTGCAGCCATGAGTGTGATGAGGCCAGAACTGATCATGAAGTCTATCATTCCAGTCGTTATGGCTGGTATTGTTGCTATCTATGGTCTTGTCGTGGCTGTACTTATAGGCAGTGCAAGTAAGTGCTTCGCGATTTTCTTTCTTCTAATCATCAATATTTTACTCGCTGCATTATCATCGCACCATATTTTATCCATTTTCAACCTGTTTTCAAGCAAATAAGAAAGATATTCAGCGTTTAAGATGAAGCTAACATTAAATATTAGTTGACGATTCGGCCCGGTGAAAAAACTCCTAAAAATTCCAGACTAAATTTTGTACCAGGTGTTTTTTGACTTAAAGATCCGGACTTTCATCTAAATTTATTCAATCCTTTCTCTAGAAATGAGAATCCTTGAAGTACAAACACAAGAATATTAAACAATATTTGATCGTACGACTCGTGATTTAAAGGAACTACCACCATAATTGATTTAAAGATTTTCTATGGAATGACGAAATTCAGCCATACATTCCATTTACGGCGTTTTGATGTCAAGATTTTTCTTTAGACGACAACGCTATCCAGCCGTCGAAAAATTAACCGATTTCTAACATTTTCTCTTTTACGAATTGTTATTTTTCAATTTTTGAAATACAAAAGGGGAAACCTAGTCAGTGCTTTAAATCTGAACGAACAATATTTTGACATTAATATACAAATTATATCAATATAATTGTTTTAAGACTGTGTGATGGGGGCTTGCGTTTAACCTAAGATAGTTAATGGATTATTACACATCCTTACAAAAGAATGGATTTTTTTGCTTCGTTTTGAATCAAGAAACAAGAAATTGAAGTGCAAAAAGCCTCATTTTTCAAGTTGACGTCATTTAACGAGCTTTTTTTTAGGAGGGTAGTAAATGTACAGCACATGTGGTTATAAATAGCTCAGGACATCATAGAAGGCATCAAATTATTATTACAGTAGTTGCAGTATCTTTCATCCAAGATGAATCCCTGAAAGGAACAGAAAGTAATAACAGCTTTTGGTTGAAAGAGAAAGAAAGTGAAATTATGTTTGATTTTGTTAATGTATCAATCTCCACGACATTACAATTGAATGAATGTTTCCCAAAGCTGACATTTAATAAGCACGACATACAAACAGGATACAACATACGAACCACATGCTTGTCTTTGGTTCTGTTTGCGCTAAGTTCAGGCATGTATTTCTGCTCCCAAAAAATTTCCTCATAGCATTATTACTGACGACTGCGAATAAAAATTTAAAACATATTAAGAATATTTTGGAAAAAATTTCAGCCCATGAAATATTATGACATGTTTTAGAATCTTGGTATTAATTTTCAACTTCTAAACCTTTTTTCATTTACTTTCAGTTGATCCAAAGGAATATACACTATTCAAGTAAGTATTGAATATTTTTCTAGACTGTATAATTTGTGTCATGATTTGCAACTTAACACAAATCAAATTATGTAGCATTTCAAATTTAAATTTGAGAAGAAAATCTGCAAATGAAAATAATATTATTGTGAGAAATGCTGAAATATTGGTAATATTAGTGAAAATCCATTCCAGAATAAAATTTTTCTCTTATTTTGGAATGGGTTTAATTCTCATAAATGCTCAAACAGGCTTAAAATGCGTCTATTTGTTTGACCATAGTAAAACCAAAGAATTGGAGATCAATTCTTTGGCTTCAGCATGTACATAGAAAGCAATGTGCAGAGACAATAGTATTGCTTCATCACTTTGCAGCACCCAGCCTTAACTCCCAGCATTGGTTGAGTCTTTGAATCATTTTTTGCTTCATGATACATGAGATCCTATACAGTTTTACAAACATTGTTGGTAACAATAATTACAGAACGTTACCATCATCATTTATTGCTGTAACGAAATGGGTTTTGGTGAATGCATAGTTAATAGAGCGGCATGGTTAGGAAACCTATTGTTCTATGTTTTTGTTCGTCTTTTTCCATTGTTATATGACATTGACAGTGCACAGTGAAGGAAAAGTTTCTCCATTTGTTCACAGTATTAGGGAATATAAAAGTTTTTTACCCTTAAAAATCGTTCTAAAATATGTATTATTTGTTAATTAATCCTATATGATTAATATTAATTTCATATTTAAAAGGAAATTGCCCTTTTTAATGCTTTCTTATTTATCATCAAGTAACTTAACTGTATCTGAGTGGAAATATTTTTTTTGCATGGTTTTTGGTCATACAATGAAAGTTTTTACTTTCAAAGTGTTCATATATGAAAATAATAAGGAAATGAGCATTTTCAGCCACACTTGCTTTGGTTCATTGTGTACGATTCAACATCAAAGGCAAAACAATAGCTTTGTTCTATGGAGTTTCCAAACCATTCCACTCCATTAACTATGGTGAATGTCAATATTGAGGTGTTTAGATTGCATTCTAAAGGCATTATTTTTTCATGTTGATCATGTTATGTACTTTTGAAAATGATGGCAAGTGTTCCATGTTGTTGCCAGCAGCACAAATGCTTAGCATAATCATAATCATCATCATTCATGATTTTTGCTCATTCTCTTAGGAGCTTTGTCGATCTTGGTGCAGGACTTAGCGTAGGCTTGAGTGGTCTTGCTGCTGGTTTTGCCATTGGAATAGTCGGAGACGCAGGAGTTAGAGGCACTGCTCAACAACCTCGCCTTTTTGTTGGAATGATTCTCATTCTTATTTTCGCTGAAGTACTGGGATTGTATGGATTGATTGTAGCTCTTATCCTTACGACCAAGAGTGCTAAATAAATACCCTGATTCACTAATATCTTAATAATGTTCACATGTACTTGTAATATTATCAAGAAAATCCTAAACAGAGGGGGAGACAGTAACTGTGAATTTCTTAAATAAGTAATGGGTTGGTTATTGGAAGATATGATACTGTCTAAGAGTTTATTTTTTACTTTCTCTTCAAAATTCTTGGTAACATTTAATCCACATTGTGGTTCTCAGTTGAATGAACAAAATTTTGTACATGCTGAACAGAACAATTATCAAGAACTATTAGCTTTTTTTCTTTAAAAAATTGTCCCTAAAAGTGCTGGCATTTTGCTACTTATTAGTTTAGTTTTTTTCATTAATTCCCTCGTGATTTGAGCTCTGTTTTGGCCACAAAACATGTTAAGTAGAATGGATATTTGAATTGTACAGCTCGGAAACCCTAAAAATACAAATGAATTTTTGGTGGGATAAATGTTTCCTCAAAACTCACTATTAAATTTTAAAAAAATATCTGCACCTCATTAGTATAATTTTCTTTTCTATTACGACAGCCAAGAACAAAGGAAAGTCTGATGATTCCTATAGCTTTTCTTAAGAGATTTTGCTTATCTGACCACTATTCAAGACTGGAATCTCACAGGAAAAAAAACAGATTCCCAAATTGGGAATTCGAACACGAACGTTGGGATTTATTGTTGGGAAGTTCCTTCTAATACCCAATAGAAAAACAAAATTCCCAACAAACTAACATCAGGAATCAGTGCCACCTTCCCAATTTTGTTCTCTCTGGGAATTGGATGGGAATTTGTTGGGAATTCAGGGAAATTCCCGAGAACAAATTCCCAATTTGGGAATCCGGTTTTTTTCCCTGTGCGAGTAGAAGACGACATTAAAGTATGGCATTGAAGTGTCCAGTTCACTAGTCTTGCATGACATACTTTAACTGTCATCAAAAGTAGGCTTATCTTTCAATTACATCCAATTCTGATTAAAAATAAAAATCTTTTACTGTGTATACTTGAATCAAACTATTGATCAAACCATAGTAGTAATCTTCATTGAAAAACCCAGTCCTATATAAGTCGATGTTTATCTAGAGTACTGTAAGGTGATTGGCTGTTAGCTGCTATATGCATGTATTCTATGCAGACGTAATCACATTAATTAATTCTGATCTTGAATCTTGCCTTTAAATGTTATGGTTGATGCAATTGCAACAAAGAGGGGAAGGAATTGTGAGCTTTATAAACTGAAAAATAAAGTACTGATCAAGTGAATGATTGCGTGTTGTCGTAATTCTTGTGACATAATTACACAGAAGAGAGATTTCATCTCTAGAGGTTTTTCATCTGATGTCAAATAATAGAAATTTGTTTYGTTTGAAAAAGGAGTTATGATTCAAAATTGTCAGCTATTAGTAAAGCTGTGAAGTTTCATGAAGATTGCCCTTAAACTTTTGAAGATATGATTTTTTTAAACCATGAAATATGACAAAAAAATGATTWAAAAAAATGCATGTTGGCAGGCAAAATTTCTCTCGAAAAAATATTTCTTGGTAAAAATTGTAAGGTTAAAAAGTTTATACATTCTCTGGATTATGGACAATCCACAAACATTACAATTATTATTTTACTAATATCTATATTAGAAAATTTGGGTTTTTTTTCTTATAAAAAACGAAAAAATATTTTCTTTGATAGTGACATCACAATGAAAAACCTTAATCACTAATGAGAAGGTTCTGTGCAGAAAAGAAGTTGTGTTTTGTTGCTCTGAACAATGCATTATTTTATTCAGCTTTTGGATTTATCATCATGCATTCATTCATTTCYGTTCCCATTTTGTTAACCATCACACTCCAGACAGCCTGTAGGGTACAATTTTCATTAAATCTATTTTTACCTACAGCTTGGTTGCAAATTGAGCTGACTGCTTGAAGCTAATAGATCTTCAATTATGATCAAGGGCTTTGCTAAGCAAGGTAGTCAGACGTGCAACCATTGGTCTCGGGTCCTCTATCAGTCCTGCTGTAATGAGTGCATTATCATAAATCTGAGGCAGGAAAAGATAATGAAGTTAAATTAGAAATACCATATCACCATGGAGCACCATCATGTATCATCACTATGTATCATCATCATGTATCATCA